CACTTCCCATCCATCTCATCGTCCCTATTGGTCGAAGACACAGGAAACACTAAAGGTGTTTCTTGTTTGGACTGTTCCTAGTCCTAAAAGAAATGTATACACTCCTTCAACTATTATTTATACACTCATTCAACTATTAAAACACACATTGTAGTAGCAGAAAATGCCAGCATCAGGAATATCAAGTGGCAAGGTAAATACTAAACAAAGCATTCAAGTAATGGTGTCTGTAGTAGAGCTAGTAATAACAGTAATAAAGAAGCTAAGTGATAAAGGTGGTTAAACGGAGTGGCCTAACTGACCAGTCATGTGGACGCTGTGCCCGAGGGTCATAGATGAAGGGCAGCTCTTCCAGCAGCCAGCCAGGGGGTCTCTGGGCTGAGGGGTCAGGAATGAATGCAGGAGCGTCCTCGTCCCTGGGAATGGTCAGTGATAAAAATGACACAGAAAGCCAGTGTACACTATGACCTGTGTCACATGGAAAATCCGCTGTCCAAATTACAGCGTGGCCTACAATATGTATGTGCAAAGTAAAATACACAACTGAAAATTTTCTCTCAAACACACACAAGACAAGGATTCACCGCCAATATTATCTGGTGTGGTGTCAGAGCTACCACATAAAGTCCTCACAATGCTTTGCAGTGATGCAGCAATGTTATGGGCTGGCAGGGATGATACAATGAAAAACAACTGATGATGAACTGAAAAAAGAAATTACTGGATCATCCAACATTTTGTGTGCTAGCTCCTGAAACTTATCAAATGGAATGTTAATGTCTTACTTCTCTAGGTTGCTTCATTCATCTCAGCTGTTAGAGTTTATCTACAAAGGAAAGGACAGTCGTATTATTAGTGTACCAGTCTTGGGGTTTGGTTGCTGTGGGGTCTGGAATAAGGGGTCGGTCATCCCAGGTCTCAGGCTTGCGATCGTGGGGGTCAACAATTTCTGCTGGGGGCCTCAGAGAGGGGTCCAGGTCATCCAAAAGGCTGCCTTTACTAATCAGTGATTGGTCTATGAGGATTTCATAGCTGTTGTCAGGGAACAAACCTAAAACAGGACAGAGAAAACAGAATGGGCTGCTTCCATCAATTATGGGTCAACCTGGACCACTGTACATGGACTCAGCACAGAATTAAGCATCTGTCTCTCAGTTAAACCTACGCAGCGTATAGAGATGAGGCTTTTGGTCGGAGAAGTATTCTCTCAGGTCCACGTCTGGCTGGCGCACATGCCTCTCCTGGTGCAGACCAGTTACAGGGTCCCTGTCGCAGAGGATGAAATGGATCTTGTAGGTGCTGCCACATTTGTCAGGGCCGAACATGATGGAGTAGGGGGTGGCGTCATTGAACTGGCTCTGAAATAATATGAAGAGAGCTGGCAGGATTGGTGCTGTTGGGCATGTAAAGAGTGTCGCCCTATTGTCACCCAACAGATAAAAACACTGACTAACAAAGACATACCAAGACATAGCATTATGTAGCCAAACGTCAGAACTAAGTGGAGTTGGGCTTGGGTAGTAATTGGATGGAAGACCTCAGAAGAAAAGCAAGTTGCTGCTGGAACTGGCCATCCAGGGTATATTCTTCACTTCATAGCCAAAAGTTTTGACAAAGTACAAAACCAATACCTCAGTGCAGTGATGGAGAACTATGATGTCTCCATTATGATAAGACAAAGAATCAAGGTGGTCCTGACTTACTGATTTCAGTGGTCCCATGGTGGTAACTGCAAATAGGGAGTATGTTCCCTGGTACCTTTGTCAAATCCCCAGTCTGGTTATCTATTCATCCCACAATTTAATTTGCTAAATAAATGATGTGTGATGAGCTGAGTCTGGTGTACAGTGTTAACCACAATGACTTTAAAATTACTTTTAGATCCTTTAAAAGAGATATAAGCTGCTATATAAATGCAAAACAATATGCTACACTTCTAGTCAAACAATATAGCTCTTTTTAAACTCCAGGGAAAGCAAGCCAGTGGTGGACTCACCAGGCGAAGCTGGTCAGAGTGGGAGAGCAGTTTGATGTAGGCCCCTCCGCAGTCAATGCCATTCTGGAACAAGACCTCATACCTGTGCAGACAGGTATAAGATCAAATAGTCATATCCTCTGACCCAAAGTAGTTAAATGACTCTTCTAATTGACAAGCTGTGATGGTGTATGTGCAACATGATGTAAAAGGTCTATGTGGCACTCACTGCAGGATAAGGGGCTGGAATCCAAAATAATATGGAGAGCGAAGGTATGCAGAAATAGCATGGTGTCGGCCCGGTGACTTGAGAACCAGGCCTTTGTTCCCAGGCAAGGCTGGATTTGTAGGCTCCTCCTGAGCCCACCGTCCTATCAGTAAACATAATCACATACACAGTTCAACACAGAATCCTGCTGAGATGACCATTCAGACCACAGCTTGTTGATTAGCAGTAGTATCACAGATCTGACTGTTATGTCAGTGTATGGTACACATCTATACAAAAACCTTTTGAACCTGTGTGACAGGAAAAGAATGAGACCAAGCTCACCATCATACTTGAGTGTGTCCTCTTCTCCCTCTCTCAAGGCTTTAGACAGAACCCACTTCCTGTGACACAGACAGGAGAGATATGAGTAGGAGGTACTATACCTAAAACCACACCTACCATATAACATTGGTTTTCATAATGCTGAGCAAACTGCTATCCAAAGAATCTCCAATGCTGCCCCCCACCCGGTTTCAATGGTATACTTCTTAAAGGCTCTATCCTCAAGATGATTGGAATCATGGAATGTGTGTCTCGACTTTAAGGGTAGTCACTCCGTGCAAATAGAAAAGAATCGTTTCCATACACAGGTGGGAAACATAGCACCTATGTGTATGCTCTGATGAAGATCTTTAGACTGAAATGTGACACCTTAGTTCTGTAAAACATACAGTGTGTGGTAGCTTCTACCCACTTAGTAAATACTGATTTGCAACTATAGTGGATGAATGAGAGACATCTGAGACAAGGGTAAGTAAGATCTTGTTCATAAACGTAATCATTTTCATCCGGGGCCACAAGGAATATTCCCACACTCTTTTAATAAAAAACTATAAGCTCTACTGCTAAAACAAGATTTTTTTAGAACTGCAGCAACCTTGAAACATTGGGAAAATGAAAAAGGAAAGATTCAGCAAAACATTGCACAGCCCATGGAAGAAGAGATTTATTTTTAGTCTTATAGTTAATCAATCAACAAAACAATATCAATATTTTATCACTTCCTTAGTTACATCAGGCTGTATATTAAACTGTATTCATTTTAAACGTTTTAAGGACGCATACTATAACTTTAGTTTTTGAAAAGATAAAACTTTTTTTTTAAAAATACACAAAAAGTTGTAATTAGAGATGGGTAAAAAGCTTAATTTGTGAATGCCAGAAACAAGTCCGAGAGTACCTGTCCAACGGGTCTGAGTCGAACGTCTCGGCAAAGTAAGCTTCCTCTGGTATCTGCGGTGATCTATAGACATTCTGCCACAAACACGCGGGCTACCGTCAATATAAATGGGTCCTCAATCACATAGACGATGTCATTACATTGTAAGTAGTTACACCGAACCACCGAAATGCAATTATTATGAAATAACAGTCATTACATTATACTAGGATAACTGACAGGACTCATTTCTCCTCCGCAATGTAACTGACCTTCGCTTCTTGGAAAGCCAACGCCAAACGAAGACAAATGCACACCACGAACTGCAGCAGCATCTTAAACGAGAACTGTCTCAAATTCAATGACACAGAGTCACACGTAAAAACAAACCTTAGTTTACCTTACAGATACGCGACAAGGTTTTAAAAGTTCTGTGAGAAAAATTCCACTTCCTTGAGGTCCTTGTGTAGGAACGGACTTTGATCCTTGGCCGGCTGTTCACATAGCAACAAATGCGCTTTCTCAGATTGTTTTTCATATTGCAGTGAAATCTTGACCATTTGGCTTCAGTGGGTAGCGAGGAATAACAACCCCTACCCCTTTTTATTATATATATATATATATATATATATATATATATATATATATATATATATATATATATATATATATATATATATATATATATATATACACACACATATATCACACACACACAGATTCTACACAAACGATTTCTTTCTTGAATACGTGTTTTATATTCTCCAAGGTTCCGACCGAGGCTGTTGGTTTACAAGCCGTCAGTAATTAGTTACATTACATTACACTACATTACATTCATTTAGCAGACGCTGTTATCCAGAACGATTTCCAGTGCAAAAGAACAGAAGTGTATCCATTCAAGCTGAATGCGCAACAGTGGCAGGGCTAACAACACTCCCAGACCAGTGAGTGTACACCATTTCAGTGTAGACCAGACCAGTTCTTTGATTTCGCTATCAAATTGAAACTAACGAAGGCAAATGTCAACAACAAATAATGGGCAATAAGGGACAAAAACTACTATTTTGGGGATCTTGAAAATCTGTTGTTCCCTTTCATGAAAAGCACTTTACATTAAAATAATCTTAATGAAAACTGTTTACTAAATAACTTCAGAAAAATAACATCAGTCCAATGAATAACACAAGTAGAGAAAAGTCAAATTCTTTATTGTAACAAAAGACCCACCCATCCCCCAAAGAACAAAATTCTGCTAATTTTCTTCCAAAAAGCTGGTTAAACAAGTATATTCGGGATCACACATGAGTACATCCACAATAAAATCTCTTTACATTTTTTTCTGCACACTTGCATTATTCAAATGTGATGCGAAAGCTTTTCTCCTGCTCCTTGCGCCGGTTATCACAGAGCTTGGACACCTCCTCTACACGTCTCTGCAGAAGTACTGTGAACAGGACAGTTAGGTTACCCTCGCAGTGAGGACACATTACATTACAATTCTACATACACCCTTACCCACAGCAACTTACAGCTCTTATTTTTACCTTACCCATTTCTACAGCTGGCTATTGGTTTAGTACCCAAGGGTGTAACAGCAGTGGCCCATCTGGGAATCAAACTGTCAACTTCTGGGTTATAAACCCAGCTTCTTACCACTACATCACACTGCTGCTTATATAGACATTCATGGCCTTGCTTTGATGGTCATTGGAATGAATTTAAGATTGAGATTACCACCCACAAAATCATATGTGCTTACGTATGATCCATGTGCACAAGCATTCCTAAAGGCTGACAGAGGTCATTCTAACACTGGCAAGGAGAAGTGATGCCAGCAGTGTTGAAGCATAGTTACTACACTGAATCTGCTGCTTTCAGCATCTCAACTCAATTAAGCGGGCAGTGGTTCCCCCTTTATTATTCAACTAATTTTTGTTCACCACCAAATCCTCTGCTTATAACACTTCACAATCTCACAACTAGACATGTCATCTAAAAGGTGAAATCTATCCATATACTCACATGAATTTTGGTCGATCCACTGCAGGGAGTCCATGTGAGCATTCAGAATCTTGCAGATCTGCTGGAGCTGTGAGAACAGTGAAAGAATGATTGGTTCCACTGTGATTCCCAGCAGGCCTCGTCTTTTCCCTATGTACCAGTAACCCTTGCCTCCACTTCTGGAGTAGGCGGTTTTTTTTATTCTGTCTTCTCTGCAGTCCTTCATCAGTGTCTCACTGTCCTCTCATGCTAATTTCCCACCCCTATTCCTCAAAGCTCCTCCCTCCCTTCCCTCCCCATTGACACCAGGCCTAGTGGATTTGGCCACCATCTGGCACTCTCCCACGGCAGTCCAGGCCGTACCGGGTCACTGGTGTCTGCCGGCCCGCTGGACGTGTTGAGGTGCTCAATGATCTCCTTCAAATCCTGGGACATCCTCTTCAACTGGGCGTCCACGTTCTCTGCCAGCTTGTACCTGCAGGGCGAGGAGTAAGATCTGTCTGTGAGCAGGATTCAGATCTTATCCACAATGCAGCCCCATTGGTCAAAGGGCTGAACACACAGAGCGAACAAATACTGCCCAGACAGGGCATCTTATTCCTCTATTGTCAACTGGGATTTGTTCCCAGATATAAACCACACATGTGAATTAAATCTAAGGTAACTCAGCAAAGATGACTCAGAAGCCAACACTACTTCCCTTCGTTTTTGATGTTTCTCAACAGGGCTAGTTTTACGGGTGTGCTGGAGTGGGCACTGCCCCCCCATTTTTGGGGAAAAAATACATGATTTTATACACAGTAGCTTCATAGTAAATCTGTATTTACATGAAGAATAGCACTAGTAGTAGACCACATAGCATACAGTATGAAACACTATTTCCATGACTAAGAAAAAAAAATCTGCTGTAATTAAGTTGCCCATCCAACACCTTTCACTGCCTCCCCAGTCAAAGCAGTCTAAAACCGGGCCTGTTCCTCAGCACCATCTGTGATGCGCCCAGACTCCCTCACATAAAGGGGGAAACCTACGTCCTCTCTCTCTCCTCATCTGCATTCTGCATGTAGATGGTTCCACTCTGCTCCTTCACCGACTCCTCCAGAGGAGACAGCAGGTCTTCCAGCTCCTTCTGCTGGGACAGGATGAAGTCCAGCTCCTGGTCCAGCCTGTCGGGGAGGGTTGAAATACAAACCTGTTGTTATAATCACACACCAGCACAGGCTTGACGCTATGATTCATATATAGTCCATGTCCTAAAATCCACTATGCACCACCTCAGTATCAAATTATCAACAATATTCCTACTCCAATGAGGGTAATAACTAGCACAAAGTGAACATACAACACTTAAATCAAATGATGTGTAAAAACTCCACCCTGTACCTTCTCTGGTCCAGCTTCACCTTCTCCATCTCTCTGTGTAAAGATGTAATCTAGGGAGAAACATAAACATGCTTTGAAATACTCTATGTGAGTTCAAGTTCACTCCAACAAGAGAAAGTTCCGCATAAAGTCAGCAGCAGTGAGTCCTCCATCCCCGATACTGGTGATACAGTAACCGAGAGGGCCTACCTTTTCACCGTTCTCCACGAGCATGCGGTCCCAGGCGTTGACCTGTGTGGCCTGCTGGAGGAAGTGCCTCTCCTGGTCCTCCAGCTCCAGACTCCACTTGTTGATGAGCGCCTCCAGCTGGGCATACGACATCACCGGAGGCGCACTATAAAGGGGGCACAGGGCAGAGGTCAGGATTTTAAACTGATACCCAGGTGAGGGAGAGGGTCAGGGGCAGACTCAGACTGCCCCTTACTGACACAGTCAGCTGGAGCAGGGAGGAGGAGGAGGGGAGCTAGGGGTGGCGGTGTGATTATGTGTGGTGGCAGCGGTGAGGTCATGTGTTGCGGACAGAGCTGGCCAGGGTCATACCTGGCAGCGGCAGCGGTGGTGGAGGTGGCTGTTCCTGTGATGGGGGCTGTGGTGCCGGTGGCAGTGGGACCTGCAGGCTTCGTGCCCAGAGTAAAAGCGGTGGCAGTACCGGTGGTGGCAGCAGCTAGAACCACAATCAAATGATCATCATTGTTATGTGCAGGACTGACATCGTTACTGTATCTGTTAGCTCACTACATGCCCATAACCATCTAATGTTGAATACATTATCCGCTTCAGGTTGAGAAGGTTATAAGACCAGTGCCCTAACCAATACTAACTTTTATAAGCAAAATTAATGTCTATTTTAAGCATTTTACCAGTTAATGTTGCTCATAAATGGTACTTAAACAGTTTGAGCACCTAATACAGTACAACATCAGACACAAGGGGACAACACAGGTTTTGTTCACATCTCAATCCTAATCAGAATCTTCTAAATAATAATAAAAAAACACACGAAATGTTAAAATGAAATGAAACACTCCCTTTACAAGGATCCAGCAAAATATAGCAGTAAAATCTGTGTATTGTTTTACCGTCTGAGGTGAGGACAACAGACACAAACTAACACTTCTGATAATTCAACAGGCAAACTGCTTTGGAAGAAAATGAATGCTCAATTCGGTTAATTTCTTACTACATGACCACACGTGCTCTTTCTGCCCTGGCTCACGTATTGTCTTCCATCAGAAGACCACTACCTCGTCTGTCAATGCAGAAGAGCAGGCAGACACTTAGAATTACTGTGCAGTTCCTTTATGTCACCCTTCCAACACTGAGTACATCCAGAACAAGCAATAATTATTTTGATCATGATACTTGAAAGCAGCATATTTTAATGCTTCATTTTCATGCTATAGGTGTGTCAAAACATGCAAATCATCATCTCTTAAATGTCACTGTCCAGAGATGATGTGTCTAAGTGTCAACATGGCAGGCCAGCAGCAGTTGCCACGGATACCGCAGTTCTTTTGACATTCCAAAGCAGGAATGTCCCAGCATGTACCTGTTGTGGCCGTGCTGGTAGTGGCGGCTCCCAGGGGCTTGAGCATGAAGCCCAGGGCCCCGGCGCCGGCTGAGGTGGTCGCGGGGGCCGCAGCCGTTGTAGCTGCTCCCACTGTGGGGCACAGGAGAGAGGTAAGAACAGGGCAGTTGTGCAGTACAGCACGTGGTCCTCCAATCTCTCCAGGTTTAGAAATGATTCTCTTTCACTGCGGCATTCCTTTTTACCTCTGAAGATCACATCTACCCACCACAACCAAGACAGTGAACTGTATAACCGTATAACACAATGTCTTTTTCTATGTGAACATGAGCCGTCTATTGCCGAAAGAAACCCTCCTAACGTGGTTGCCCAAACATGGATAACCACTCAACAAATTTGTGAATTAGTGATTTCCCAACCCAAATTTCTCCCCAGCATCCACTGATGCACTGGCTTTTACATATGTGTAAGCATGCATTTTAATGTCACAATGTCTGTGTGGGTGTGTGTGTGTAGGTTTGTGTGTGTAACACTCACGTGTGAAACCTGTAGCTGCCGTTGATGCAGCAATTGCTGCCGCAGGGGCTGTGAAAAGGGAAGAGGCTGCCGCAGGGGCAGCCTGGCTAGCTGGGGCTGTGGTGGCAGGGGCCGGAGTGGCTGTGTGACAGAGAGAATGAGAGGACCAATCAGAGAGAGAGAACCTCCGGGGTCATTGCTGTGACAACCTAGGCAACAGGATCCCAGCATCAGAACAAGGCATTTTACTCACCTTAACTACTGAACATTTACTGAGCCATGACATACTGATGACATAGACCCAAAAGGTTAATGTTTTAACCCGATAAAAGGTTAAAAGGTTTTGGGTTTTTCAGCCTATAATAAAGCTTACACTGTTATAATGTATGGGCAAGAACCTGTATATTGGTTACAAACAAACTCAGCACCAGAATGTTGACCAAAACAAGATACAACATGGGTACAATTCCACTGCAGTCCACTGACTTCAACCTCAAATAATATAACAAGCCACTGTCCCTGGTACCTGCCTGTGTTTTACAGAATTTACTAGGAACACACTATGGATTTTTGTCCCCTACTGACAAAATATGGCAAATCTGCAAGATCTCCTGAACATACCTGAAGGTTTGATGCCGAAGGAGAACCCTGCCCCCTGCGTGGTGGCCCCTGGGGCAGCTGCAGTGGTTGGAGCTGGGGTCACAGCACTCAAAGATAGACCTGAGAAGATGGACAAAGCAGACAACACTGAAAGTGTGCCCGCTAAGGCTGACAGCATTTACATTTCCAATGAAGGACAAAATAACTGGGACTTATCTAGCTGCCATTTTCATTTGATCATTGCCATTTTCCATACAAGTTTTATCATTTACTCATGGAATCCAATCAGAACATTAACATGTTTCCTTGAAATAAATCCAGTCAACTTAAGATCAAACTGAACTATGATATTTAAAAATAACACATCACGCTAAACACCTAGGAGAGGCTCAGCCTAAACACAGGTCAAAAGCCAGTCTTCCAAATATCACATCAGACCTTTGAGTGCAGGTTCTCTTTCATAAGGTAACATAGCTTGAAAAAAGCCACTTGTGAGAACACAGAACGGATGCATGTGGTGCATCATAGCCTTATGGACCTGTGGATTCACCTGTGGACTGGGTCCCCAAGGTGAGGGTGGCGGCGGGCTGTGCAGGGGCGGCAGCGGTGCTCGTCCCGAAAGAGAACCCGCCCCCGGCTGCA